GAAGTAGTAAGAAGGAACAGGGAGTTGGCATTGAGGGGGGTATAGGAAGAGAGGGCAAGAGGTCAGATAAGGTGGAAGGAGAGAGTAGATGAGCCAAGAAGGAGATATATAGAGCATGTGAGAGGAGGTTGGGTGACGGCGGCGGGCATGGTTGGAGGAATGTTATGCGCTGTGATTTCACCTCTCTCCAGGTGTTCGTACAGTTGTACACGTTGACATTTAATGGGTTTTTGATTATGAACAGGCCGGGATGCAGATGGAGCATCAGCGGCTCATTATATCAAAGTCGTTGATCTATCTAAGCTGCCCACTGTCAGAGGCCGCAGAGGAAAGTCTTACAATGAGCTGATCGCCTTTGTCGTATCACCAGGCCACACTCCCCTAATATGAGGATTGTAAAGGCTGTGCAGTGATAATATGCCTAGCGCCATAGTCCAGAGCAACCAATCAGAAACTCTGGATTTAAATCTCTTCACTGATCTCACTACAGTCAGCTAAAATCTGATTGGATGTTCAGTATTACTTTGTGAACCATCAGGACTCTGTGCTGCCTTAGTGAATAATCTAAGCCTCTTTCTATCCCCATGCACAAAGCTCAGCCTCGCTCACCTGTTCGGGGTCTCTCGCCACAATGATGAAGCCATTATTGTCTACGAGGAAGCAGTTCAGGGCCTGCAATACAAAGAATGTCTGAATGTCACTTTGAACGCGCAGCCAAAACACATCAATAATTCCTCCCTACAAGCGCAGACTGCGACACAAAGCGGGAAGGTGACACCACGGCACAAAGTGCTGAGCGACCTGGAGTGGGACAGTTCATAGTAAACATAGAGGAGGGAATAAATAATAACCATCTCTACCGGCAAGTCTCCAAATCCACTCCTCTAACTCAGATAGATAAAGAAGTGTTGGTGCAGCAATAGACCCCAATATAGATGCCTCCTATTTAATGACAGAGGCAGTTTTGTAGAGGCCGATGGGACCAGATGGGTCCTTGGGATGCTCGCAATGTGTACACTGTAGAGAAGAGAGCGACACAAGTGTAGCTAGAAGAACACTTATTTCAATAATTACAGAAGTATCAGCAAGTAGTCAATGAGGTTCGGGTGCTTCACCGATCCCCCTACATCAAGACTTATAGAGATACAGGGAGGTTAAAGAGCTTTACTGAAATGGTTATCTCATAAAGGGACTGTTGGTTTCTGTCCACAGGCTCGTTCAGGTCACTGGTCTGTTACAGGCCTAGGTACAGGAACAACAGTTCCTTTTCAATAGGGGTGCACCGATACTACTATCGGTGCCGATGCCGAGTATTTGGGCGAGTACTCGTAATCGCCCAAATGCTCCGATACCAAGCCCGATACTTGAGCTTCCGGTATCAGTAAGCCAGGCAGTTAATGAGCATGGAGGGAGTTGTGATGAGGGAGCATGGAGCCGACTCCCCGGGCCAATCAGGAAGCCGGGCTGCGTGTAATGACTCGCTGCCCGGCTTCCTGGTTGGTTGGGAAGCTGGCCAATCAGGAAGCTGGGCACCGTGTAATGACGTGGTGCCCGGCTTTCTGATTGGCCAGGAAGCCGGCTTCATGCTCCCTTGTCACCTCCTGACAGGGGAGCATGGAGCGTCATTACACAGCACCTGGCTTCCTGATTGGCCAGAAAGCCAGTTCCATGCTTTCGGGAAGCCGGGTGCTGAGCCCTTCCTTAATGGGGCTATTGGTATCGGCGAGTAGCAGGATAAAAACTATCGGTACTCGTACCAAAAAAAATAATATAGGTACTTGTACTCGAAAAAACGGTATTGGTGCATCTCTACTTTTCAAGATAACCAGCATTGGTCTATTTTTTTACACCTCCCTGTATCTATAAACCCCGACGAAGGGGGACCAGTGAAGTTCCACAAACACGTTTGGAAACCTACTATCTTTTCTACGTAGTACTCATTGCAAGAATTCATAGGATGTATTCTAACACTGAAATGTTGGACTCCGCTAGCTACATACTAAGTCCCATTTACAGGTTTCTAATAATTTATGGATTCCAAAACAATTTAATATTGATACAATCCTTGTAACATTCATGTTTAATGATCCGTCACTGTATAATGTCACTTTATTACATTACCTCGTCCTCACAGCTCATTGGACACATCCCGTCCACATCGCTACACTGTGGAGAAGACGGAGAACTTAGTCAAGTATTTCATGCGCAGAATACACGTATATAAATATTACAAATGTGACATCTGCCAGCACAGATCTGTTCTTTAGACGACCTTGTAAAAAACACAAATCAATTGACTTATTTTTCCTTTTTTTTTTTACCCAGCTGACTGGTAGGCAAGATTTCAGCAAGATAGATTATGCAGCTAAATTTCATAAACAAAACCTATGTTCATTTAGACATGTTCACCTCTGAAGGTAGCAGAACCGCCCGCACAATGACCCCCCAAACCCCCCGCTCAACACCCACGCCGTGTTTCCCGGGCTCCGCTGCCCCTCCTACGGGCCTGGGACCGGCATCTCGGGTGTTGGTGGGAAGTTGGGGAGGAGAGCGGTTCACCGATTCACCGATCATCGATCTCCTCCCTGTTCTATGGGACCGGGAGTGAAGCAGATTGCATCACTTCCAGTCCCTGAGCTGTCATTGCTGGGCTCCTGAAGGACCTGTTACCACCAATATGCTATCACATGGGGGGCTTGTAATCCCCCCCATGTGATAGAAATTAAAGTGTAAAAATAATATTAAATAAATTAACTGTAAAAATAATGTAAAAATTATTTTTTAAAGTCCCCGCCACTGCGAGCATGTGCGTTGTCAAGTAAACACACGTCGGGTGCGCCTACGCACAAAAAAATTGATTGCGCTACACATGTTGGGTATCACCGGGCACGCCAGAGTGAGAGCAATAATTCTAGGGCCAATACTTACGCGTATCTCTAAACTGATTATCTGTGGGGGTGTTTAAAGCGTCGTGCATGGATTTTTTGGGGTACTGAATTCTGTCGCAGTTTCACGGATGCACACAATTGTTAGCCTGGGCATGTTGGGCATCTATTTACTCATTGTAACCTCATCTTTTATATTTTTGTTTTTTTAAATGGTTTTATATTGTGTTTTGGGGCACTAAATTTAACTTAAGTGCATTTTTCACTAAATATTTGGGTTTGATAATAAGTTGTGCAACATAAAAATTTGCAACTGCCATAATTGTATTCTCTAGTGTCTTGGCTTTTAGAAAATATATAATGTTTGGGGGTTTTAAGTAATTTTCAGGCCTAAAAATGTAGATTATAACATGTAAACAAAAAATGGAAAAAAGGGCCTTTGTCTTTAAGGGGATACATACCAGCAAGAATAATAATAACTGGCTGTACAGTGATTTGTAGTATTCTGAGGTTTACCGTAAGTTAAGACTCTCAGGTTGTCCACATACGGTCAGGCAATAGCAAGCGATCCTTTAGGGTTGGAACTTCACTTGTAATAATTGGTC